CTGCATCAGCGTGGCCACTGGTTCGGCGCATGATGATTCAATGACTGCATCACCAATGAACGTGGGGGTGGAATTAGCAAACACCCCCAAACATGTTCTCTGAGCTATACGCTTTTTGCGCTTTTCCCACTCCACTTGAAGTCCTCCTGGGTCGTACAAAAACCATCTATGAGTAGGTGACAACAAGATGCTAGCTGAGTTCTCAGCCACTCATCCCAATTGTCGTCGAGAATCTCCATGCGCTATTTTGTTGTGCAAAAACTTAAGTTTCGTTGGGTACACGGATTTGTCACGGGGTAAATCCCTATTCCCATCCAAGAAATTGGAGGGTTTCTGAAACTGGCGTGATCTTCAAGTCACCATAGGTTTCACTACTAGAATGATATCATTTTGGATGATTTGGGGTACCCCCATGACTTAGGAAAGCTCCAAGTCGGCCCCAGGCCATGAGTCAAACGGTGGGCACCATCCTCTTCACGTTGCGCGTGGCTGCGCGGGTGGAATCCTCTGCGGTGTACCTGTTGCAGCATGCCGAGGGTGGCTTGGCCCTATCCCTTGGACCTCTGGGGATGGAAAACATGGATTTGACTAGGCAAGCACAAGGCTTTCCGTCCAGATTTCCTTCAACTCTGATAGAGATCTGATCTTGAAGGGATATCTGGAAGAAAGAAATTTGGGAGACGCTGGGCTTTCTGTGAATGGCCTCAGATTTCTGCCACATTGGCTGAGACAGACACAGGGCGTAGGAAGAACTGACACGGAACAGACTTGACCGAGACTGGACGGGGAAGACTGGGCGGACCAGACAAAGGAATAGAGGCAGGGAGGTGATCACTTTTGCGGGTGATGTTCTCATTTTTTTACGGCAAACATCGTAATGTTTGTGAGTTGGTTACCACCTTTTCATGGCAAAATATGACCTTTTTGGTGAGTTGCTTATCACATCTTTATCACCATTCTGAATTGGGCATGATTTCCCCGATTTTGGCAGGAATCGTCCCTTTGTTTTTTGATGGTTTCTGTTCCAAAAGTCTTTGGCATCTTTGGCTTCAATCCTCATTTCACCATCCAGGATTTGGCACAATTTCAATCGCCCCAACTTCCCATTTCGGTGGCTTGAACCGCCGTTTTCTGTGGGTTCCCTCTCCAATTCTTGGTGAACCCCTGTGTATATATACACACACACCCCACTAATATATGTATATATATATATATACATATTGTATGTATGTATGTATGTATGTTATGTTATGTAATGTAATGTAATGTAATGTAGTGTAGTGTAGTGTAATGTAATGTAATGTAATGTAATGTAATGTATATAATGTAATGTAATGTAATGTAATGTAATGTAATGTAATGGTAATGTAATGGTAATGTATGTAATGTATGTAATGTATGTAATGTATGTATGTATGTATGTAATGTAATGTAATGTAATCTAATCTAATGTAATGTAATGTAATGTAATGTAATGTAATGTAATGTAATTAATGTATGTAATGTAATGTAATGTAATGTAATGTAATGTAATGTAATGTAATGTAATGTAATGTATATAATGTAATGTAATGTAATGTAATGTAATGTAATGTAATGTAATGTATGTATGTAATGTATGTAATGTATGTATGTAATGTAATGTAATGTAATGTTATGTAATGTAATGTAATGTTATGTTATGTTATGTATGTATGTATGTATGTGTAATGTAATGTAATGTAATGTAATGTAATGTAATGTAATGTAATGTAATGTAATGTAATGTAATGTATGTATGTATGTATGTATGTATATCATATATATATATATATATATATCAAAATTGCTTAAATCCACCCATTTTTGTTGGTTCATCCTCCATCAAGGCACTGCATATTTGTGCATTCTGGGCATAAAATCACCGGAGCAAGGTGCATGATCTCTCAAACCACTGGCCTGCACCCTCAAATATTGATAGGTATTATTTCATTAAAAAACATCTCATTACATCTGGCCATCCAATTCAATCCAATTCAATTCAATCCAATTCAATCCAATTCAATCCAATTCAATCCAATTCAATCCAATTCAATCCAATTCATATTTCAGTGAAATATCCAAAGCATATTGGAATGATTTGAGGAGATCATCTTCCCATTATATCCCCATTATCTGATGCTAATGATAATTGGCATTATTCTCATGAAATATCTCCATAATTGGTATAATACACCCACTATTTCCATATGAAACTACAATATTCGCATTATTTATCCGTTGTTACCTGATGAAAATCTGACCGGATCATTGAAGGAAAGCTGCCTGCCACGGGCCCGCGCCCCGGAGCGCTTCCCTCCAGCGCGGCGTTGTTGGCAGAGCTGCGTGCGGGGCGGCAGCGGCTGCGCGCGATCTTTATGGAAGCTGAGGATGGATGGAATGAGTTGGGTAAGACAAGAACAGATATCATGGGAAATTGTATCATCTAGGGACATCATAGGTAATTCACCATCTATCTATCTAAGAATCTAATCCAATCCAATCCAACTAATCCAATCCATCTATCTATCTATCTATCTAACTATCTATCTATCTATCTATCTAATTAATCTAATCTAATCTAAATCTAATCTAATCTAATCTTAATCTAATCTAATCTAATCTAATCTAATCTATCTATCTATCCATCTTACAAGAAGGGATATCGTGGGGAAATGATATAATCTAGGGAATTAATAGGTAATTATCTAATAATACGTAATTTAGGTCGTTTGATTGGAGTGGTGGTGAAACAACATATTATATATTATTATATCATATTAATCATCTCCATAATGGGACAATCTATCGTTGATGATAGATTTCTATATAATATTATTATAATGTGTATGTCAATGTACATACGTATATATATATATATGTTTAGTTGATTATATATGTATATATACACAACATATAATGCGGGTTTCTGAAGTCAAGGGGCTCCCCAAGTCACCATAGTTGTTTCAATACTAAAATGGTCTAATTTGGACGATTTGGTGGTCCCCGCATTTTTAGGAAACCTCCATATAGTGGGACATTTTTATCTAGGGAAAAAATAGGTAATTATATAACCATCATGGGCAATTAACCATCAATGTGGATATCGCGGGGATATATTTGGATTTAGGTTCTTAACGCTCGAAGTGGTCACTTGCATCACTAGTCCCAAAAGGGTCCCAAATGAACTGCAATGAGGTTTGATGCGTTTTTTGGGTGTTTTTACTGAAAGTATGTGATTCAGTGGGTTTATTTAAGAAATGTGGATATATGACTGGTATAGATTGGGTCGAAGCAAACTGGGTATATCATTTGGATCTAGGATCATATCTGTGTTCGGATGGGTTTTCATGTGGTGGAAACGAAACCCAGGAGTCATCCGCCAATAAATGACTTCATGTGGCGCGTATATGGCCAGATATAGGGTTGGCATGTTGTGTTACGAAATGTTATTCGTGCCTCAGTTCCCATCCTCAAAGTTGCAGAGGATATACTCACTATTTACATACTGTGGATGTTCCACAAATCCTGCACCACCTTGGATGGTTGAAACCCTATCAACAATTAGCGATTCCTCTATCAACTGGTGCAGGATTTTGCCCCATCCACAGTGACTGGCCATTGGTTTCTCTGGTCTCTGCAGGGATGGCTGGATGCATGGCTTGACGAACTGCACGATCTGGCCTGCAAAGCTGCAGCGGCTGCAGGTGGGATCTGGAGATTTTCCCACCCAAAACATGGATGATGACTGGGGGTACCCCCATGACGTCATGGAAAGCCCGGTGATGTCCCGAATTCCCACTGCTTGATGAATAGAGGGGCCCAACTACAGATGATGATGGCTGAAATGGGGATGGCTCAAAATATGGCTATGGATCAATACCTATTAATACCATTTTTAGTGGGATGAACATCCATTTACCAGCTATTTTGGGGTTCACTAGGTACCAGGGTTTTGACCCATCCCCATATGAGAATCTCTTTCCCCTCAATACGAAGAATCTCCAAATGAAACCCTCCTGGAATGTATTGGATCCATGAATTGGGAGCTCATAATGGGGGATATTTAATCATTGAGCCCTCACCAGCCGACTAGAACCCAAGAAGGATGGATAGTATGAGTAATCCTCCTCAGTCATAGGAGATTGTCTGATGTGGGAATGATTGTAGTTTGCCAACTCCCGAAAGAACCCGAAGAACCGATGATTTTCAAGGTATGATGGGAATATCGGATCTACAACCCGCAATTGAACACCCTGCTGATTGGTAAATCATGGGGAATCATCAGAATCCCCAATGAACTGATGGGTACAAGTGTCCCGTACTGTAAATGATGGACATCTAGGATGGCATTCTTTGATTATTTCTTACTGCACCATCGTGAAGAATCAGTCCTGATAGGGGGCAGGCCTCGTTGCGACCATTGGACCTCAAGCAACATCCAAGCCTAGTGGTAAATCTGTGCCTAATCTGTACGCCTTTTCCTCGATGATTAAAGCGGTTGGTCTCCAAAAAGGGTTTTGCCCTTAAGGATCCAGTAGTCGGAATATGTTTTGAAGGGTTCGACATCTCATTTGTCCCTGTTGCACTTGCCATCTTCATGAGGTGAGGACCTGAAGAGTGGAGGTTCGGCATGGGACCCCGGGGTTCCAATTTTATGTGGTTCCCAATGGTCACTTTTGGTATCAAAAAGTATGACACATGATGAAACTATCGCTTTTTTGGGGTGGTTGATGATCTATCCCTTCTTTTTTGAGGCATCATAAATTGACCCACACTGTCTGGGGTTGAGAAGGTTTGTGCCCAGCAGCTCTTATTTCCATCCCAACATAGGGGATGGGATGGTCTGAACTGAATATGTTTCTTTGGTGGCTTTTCAAGCCATTTCAAGGCATCATCTTGCGGGAGAGTGATGTCTTCCGACGCAGCCAGGTGCAGCTCCCAAGGCGAAGAACAAGGCCGCGCAGAGTTTGGATAAGTACATGAAGACTTCCTGCAACATCCACGCCCACCTGCTGCTGTTGTTGCGAAATGCGCCTCTGCAGAAATGGCGGGAAGAGGACGGCTGCAACTCGTTGAACGGGGGGGCCCCACTTGGAGGCGTTCTGACCCCAGAATATCTTCAGAAGTGTGGCTTATGTTGGTGATATTCCCAATTGATGTTGGTGAAACATGCATTTCCGGTGGTTGAATCCTCGCTTCTGTTGGTACAAAAACATTCCAGATTTTTGTTGGTCGAAAAATCTGCTCATTTATGTAGATTTTTTTTTCATTTTGATATTTCATGATATTTCATGATATTTCATGATATTTCATGATATTTCATGATATTTCATGATATTTCCACATTTTTCTTGATGAACATGGGCATGTCTTTCGATCACCTAATCCCCAGCCGGTTCCTTCCCACCACCTTCAGGTGCCTGAGGATGAACTGGACGAGCGTTCAGTGAGCCGCATCTTGTCATCCTTCACCTTTTTGTCGCTGCACCACACCTTCAACCAGGTGCGATGGATGCTGGGTGTAGGAACAGGTCTAAGAATTCTAAGATTGGGTGATGCTTGGATGGTGTGACGATTGTTTTCTAGAAATGAACATGATTCCTTCAGTAGGGTACCAGGCTTTCATTGCCAGCAGATTTTTCGTGTATTTTTGTTCAGCACCAAACATGGATTCCGAAAATGGGTTGGTCCCTGTTTTGCCAAATATATACCCTCTGGTAATTTAACATAGCTATGGAAAATCACCATGATTAATGGGAAAATCCACTATAAATGGCCATTTTCAATAGCTATGTTAAATAACCAGAGGGTAAATCTTGTATTTGGATGACTGGGCTGAACGCCGCTTCGCTTTCGCCAGAATTTCTTGGACATCCCAGAGACGGAGCTTTTTGAGGTCTTCCAACATCACAGGCCCGCAGAGGGCATAGTTTTTTTGGAAGTCAAGTCGCTGGTGATTTTTTGTGTTCAACATGTGAGTTTTGGGAGATGTATGATATTTTTTTGTAGAAATCAAACACATGTGAAGAAACAAAAAATCCAGGAGATTGATGGATATCTCACCCTAGGCGCGGCCTGGTGCGCTGGTTCGAGAAGCAGCGGAAGAACAGCGAGTACGGCCGCTTCAATCGGGTCTTGCAGCAGGTTCATCAGCAGCCCCTCGGTGGCGCCATTGTGATCCATCATTTCTTTGTCACTGAGTTGACCAGAAAAATGAGAGGATTGGAAGCAACAGAGAAAAAGGGATTGAACCAGGAAAACGTGGGATTCAGCAACGTTGGGCCTTGAAACCTGCAGATTGGCAGCTCGCGATTCCTTTTGTCTATTCAATTTTGGGAGTTCCCATTTTGATGAATCCACGCTTGGACACGTGGCTCTGATATATACAGAAATTGGGTTGGGGAGCGGAACCAGCAGCAACGTATCCACTTTTTGTGTCGTGGTCCCCCAATATTTGTGGAAGTCCATTTGATGGGAGGGGTTGGTTCCGTTTCTGTGTTTCAACCGTTTTTTTGTGGGCACTTGATGGGAGGGGGTGTGTTATTTGGTCAGGAACCACATTTTGAGCCACTGTCACCAATCGGAAAAACTTACAATCGCATAGAATGGCTACCCTCTGGTAATTTAACATAACTATGGAAAATCACCATTTTCAATGGGAAAATCCACTATTTCAATGGGCCATTTTCAATAGCTATGTTTTCAACGACGCCCAGGTTTTCGACCATCGACTCCTCGAGTGCCGTTGACACGGCGCTCTTCGAGTGGGGTGTGGTGAAGGGCGATGCCCGCAACGCAGGGCGCTACGTGGCTCGGCGGGGGATGCGGATGGGGGGATCAGGAGCTGAAGGGTTGGGCAACCTGGGAAGGGTCAACTGCTACCCCAAAGTTACGTGTGGAATCGAATCAGTTGCCTTGTCATGAACTGGAAAGCCGGCTTCACGAATCATTCCAACATCCATTTTTGGATATTTTTGGTAGATACTTGTCCTCAGATTTAATATGTTCATGCATAAAATTGGTCCACATCATCTTGACCCCGCCCCCAGTTTTCTCGCAAGCCCAGGCCATCGTCGGGCCCAAGCGCTCTGATGCGGAGCGTGGGGAAGTGGCGCAGACCGCCAGTGGGGAACCCCTGGATGGAGGGTTTAGCATGATCAACTTGGGGTGCAATTGAATTTTATGCCACATAGTGAGATCAGTGAGATCGTCATGGCGGTCTTAACACGGAATCGAGAATTATAGCCAATTATAGCAATCATCTAGGAAATCTCTCTGGATTGGCTGTTTTTGGGGCTACTTGTCAACATTTTTTAACATTTACATGTGTCATTCACCACACGCTAAACTCACCTTGGCCTCCACCATCCTAGCTGGATGGCCTTTTTCAATCAGGCAATGACAATGCCTGGATCGAACTGAACATTCAGCTGCTGCAGGTTGGCGGATTTGGGGGTTTCTGAAAAGTCAGGGATCCCCAAGGAGCCCATGGTTGTTTCAATAGTAAAATGGTCGAATGACTTGGATGATTTGCGGATCCACTATTTCCACCTATTTTAGGAAACATTCATTTCGGGATCCTGCAAACATTGAATTGATTTTCACGACCAAAAGATCCATCAGGAACAGAACATTCCAACTACCAAGTTGGAAAGTTTGGCTGGCTGGTAGTTTGCAATGTTTTTGATGTTCCCTAAAAATGGACTCCAACTTGACGTTTCTGTTTTTTTGGATGGGCGGCTCAAGCATCTACCAGTTTTTTAAAACAAGTGATTGGTAAATACGGGTTGCATTCTCATGTTTTCTGAATCTAATCAACAAGTTGTTCTTCCACCAACTCTCTCTCTCTATATATATATGTACATATACAGCTGTTTTTAGTTTTCAACAGCCCAAACTTATATATCCCATTATATCCAATGATATATGTTCCAATTATAGCCAATGATAGATGGTTTCTACGCCACCTTTTTTTTTTTTGGGGCGGCCAACTCCTCCATTTTGTTGCCAGGTTACGGTGCGAGGGCGCCACGTTACGCCCCTGGAAGCGGATACCTGTGACGACGCGGACTTCAAAGAGGTACGGGGGGGGGTTGGACTCTAACGGGTCACGGTGTTTTTTTTTTTGGTGAAAAATGCAGGTGTTTTTTGGAGTTCTAGTGGGAACAATTTGGAAAAGATGTGATTTGTTTGGGTTTATCTAGTCAAATCTAGTCTTGTTTTAAGGAATCACATGCAGAAGATGAGCAGATGAGAGCGTGGCAATCTCAAGCGGAAAGGTCCATGGGCAGAATAATTGATCGTCCTTATCTAAAGGAGGTCCCAAAAGACAGCAACGGCATTTGTTGCAAAGGACTGAGATTGTTCGCCCCAACTTGACTGATAGGCTTTGAAGATGCAATAGGGTACCCTATGGCCCTATGGTACCCCATTCCATCCTCTGGTTCATCAATGCTGATCAGCATTTTTCATATTCATTTTTTTTTTTGGAGGTATACCCTATTTTCAGACACAGCCATGAGTAAAAATGAAATCCAAGTGGCGCACCAAAGCCATACACACGGGGGGATCTATCTCTCCAGGTGCTGACCAGTGGTGCTGGACGCCAGGCACCCGATTTTAGACCACTAACCACCACGCCTGGAGCCGAAATCCCCAGAAAAAAGGGGGCCAAAGAACCCATTGACCCTGGGAACTGTGGGGCTTTTGACATGTCCTCATGTCCCACAAAAATGCCCTTGACAATTCATGTTGGTAAACCCAACAACAAAGATCAATAATATATGTATGTATATATTATATACATATAATTGGGGATGATCATGGTTATCCATTTATAGTGGTTTTGCGGATGGTTTATTATTTGGAATAACACCATTGTTATTTTTTTCGGGTATATGGTTCATTTGTCCTCCAGTTTTGTGCTGTCCCACAAATGGGGAAGTGCTTGATTTGAGAAATGCCCACCTTAACCATTGGATTATGCTGGACAAACCCATATCTTGTCATGTTGTTATATCATATTCTCGTGTATGCCATAAAATATCCACAGTATATCCCCATTATGGTCGGCTTCATCCGCATTAATCTAGAGTTCAACATGGCCAATTAATTTGGATTAGACCATTTTGGTATTGACACCTATGGTGACTTGGGGATCCCCCATGACTTGAGAACCCCCCAGAACTCCCCAGTACTCCCTCTCTGCCAGGCTGAAACTGTGCAGTGTGCTGCACTTCTCAGTACGAACCTGGTACGTGTCAGAGAACTGCTGACGGGACACCCAGGGAGCTGTCAGTTGGAAATCTGGTAGAAATGGAGGTTTGTAGCTGGGAAAATCATCTACAGAATCTATAGATAGAGGATATAGAGGATTTGCAACTGCCATGACAGGGTGGTAAGGTTGCCAGGCATCAAAGATGGAGCAAAGTCAGCTGCATGTTTTAGCTTTGACATGGCTTGACCATTCAGATGACAACCACGTCGCCAGGTCGCAACCCTACCGAATCACGCGCTGGGAAGGCGGGGCGATGTATGGATCGAAAACTGCGATATCGAAAAGGAACACTTCAAGAAAATCACAATTTTATTTTTGAGCCACTGAGGCACCTGAGTCAATTTGCATTGGCCAGGCACTGCGGCGGGTAACCTGCCCTTCACGGGGGACTACGTGCGTTTGTACGACATGGAGGACTTGATCTTTCAGGGGTTTTGCCGGGAGTTTTGTGGCCCCAGATTTGGGGGGACTGGCTTAACAAAAGATGGCGGATATGATAAACGATGTGGATTTTTGGTGGTTTCATAGATTTTTTTCTCCCATCACTGATTCCAAGAATTCACGAAGAGTCTTGGGCCAAGAGGGGGATTCTTGGACTCAACTCAGGGCTCCAGTCTCCTGTTTCAGGATTTTGAAGAGCACGAAGCGTGGGTGCCACAACTCTTCGAACCGGTGAGGCCACTATTCCTCAGGATATGGGAGAAGTGGCCAGTGATGCTGACTGATTGGTGGTTTCAGATATGAAATTTGACCCATGATCCCATTGTCCAAGTGTCTAATCTTTCGGGGTTGAAACGTTGAAACCAACAATCAGATGATCTTGAGGACCCTGACTTCAACAACTCCCTTATTGAGATCAAATCCTCATCGGCCCGTAGCCTACCTGTGCCCTTATCAAAACCTACCTGGGTCGTGGCTGGCTAAGATGGAACCGGATTTCGCAACGTTTTTTGAGTTGTCGGCCCACATATATCCATCATTGGGTCATATTCTGGCTTCAACTCTTTCTCTGGTAAACCGTCATTTCGCTGGTTCCCATTTTTCCCCTGTTTTTATTTTTTGTCGACTACTACTACTACTTTCTTTTCCTTAAGTATTTTTTGGGACTGCTTGGGGGACCCTATTCGAAAACCTGAGCAAAGATTCCAGAACACAACATGTTGAATAATTGATCTCCCATGCCAAAGTGATCATTAAAACTCCCACCTTTCTTGTAGGACATGTCAGCTTCTGAACTGAAGCCCTGTGGGATCCCACCTGCAAGATGGCCTCCCAGTTTACCTATCTAGGGAATCCATTTTGGCTGATTGTTTATCCCCACAGACCATACAACCGGTGTTTTTCACCAGTAATTATTCATCAGCTGTGTCCGCTTTTTTTAAGTTTTTGGTTGAACGTTGTAGCACTTTTTGTTGCTTCGGCCATGGATGGCCCTCCCGTTGTGCGCTATTGGAGGCTGAAGTTCTTCGTGCCCCCAGCGGTGCCGCAGAACATCTTGTTCTTCTTGCTGGAAGAGACGGACCCCAGCGCGTCGGTCATAGTGCTAGCAGCCGTGCACCCCAAGGTGGCCAAGGGCAGCATTGGGTGAACTATGAATGATATGGATTTAGCCCATGAAGATGAATATGGGTTATTGATATTAATTGATAATATGGATTTAACTATCAATCATATGGATTTGACTATCAATCATCTTAGTAAAGCAATAGCACACCATTACCAAAATCACCATAAATGTGTGGTATAAAGCATCAACATTCTGGGTTGTTTATTATTGCTATACTGACATTAATATGGATTCAACCAATGAAGAATGGAACCAATAATCTTATGGAGATACCAGCGATTAAATCAATAAAAATGGGGATTAAACCTAATATTTAATGAAATGGGATTGATGTGGCCAAGAATACGATATTTGGCGTGTGCCTGAAATGGGCTTAGCAGCCATCACGGGGGGATTTGCCAACAATGATAGCAATTGGGAAAACGTTTGGGACATTTGATTTTATAAATGCTCTATGTGGATTTAAGCAGAAATGGGAGGATTGGCGGACTTACCATCAATGTATTGCAAATTCCTTTGGGTTCCTAAGTTTGAGACATTTCTGCTGGAAGATCTACCCTGTAGCAATTCAACCTTGCAGGGAACTCCCAATTTTTCGTTGAAGTAGACGTCAGTGGAGGATTTTCCTTGATTTTCCAATGAATTGCGGGAGGGTGACCTTTTCCCTCACCCCCAGCCTGTGCCTTCCGGGGATTCTGGCAGGTCCGGGGGAAGGTGTGGAAGGAAGTCGTGGTTTTCCGTGACCTCCGTGCGGTGCAAATCTTCAAGATCGACTCCTATGGACATCAGCACTACAGGCTCAACAGCAGCCGAGCTGTCCTGGATCTGGTCCGACCACCCTCAAAACATCCCAAAACCGGGTATAAGATTACCCTCTGGTAAACTAACATAGCTATTGAAAATGGTCATTTATTAGTGGATTTTCCCATTAAAAATGGTGATTTTCTATAGCTATGTTAAATTACCCACAGGACGAGGGGTTGTCCCGAAGGGACAACCCCTAGTCCGGAGTTAGCAACCCATTGGTTCCATCATCCCAGTGCCAGGGGATTTCCTTGTCATAACAACAGTGACGTCTTACACATACTTCTATTAGGGGTTTCATTTAGGGTTTACATAAGTTAAAAATCCCCCGGCCCCATGGAACATATACATATACGCATACTTCTATTAGGGGTTTCATTCAGGGTTTACAGTTATAAAATCCGGACTCGCCCAAAAAAAAATGAAAAAGTGGAAATGGCCGAAATGCGTGAAGTCCGCAGAGGGTTTACTTTTCTGACTGATTTTTCCAAAAAATCGTCTTAGACCACGCTAACACACAGATGTACCAGAGTCATAAAACACTGCGCCTGCGCAAAGAAATGAATCTCCCACTGACGTTCATACGACCATTCCGGGACAACCCTCAGTCCTGCCCGTTAAATTACCAGAGGGTAATAAGATTATAGCCTTGCTGCAAAGAGCAACACCTTTCATTGTGAGCAATTCATTTTAGCATCTAGTGCTCCAAATTGTGCAGTCAATTTTTTGAAATCATCCAAACCAATCTCGAACTGCATTTGGTTATGGCGCAACGTTGGGGTACTGTACTTCTTTATACCCACAAAATTCGTCAAGTCACTTTTCGGCCCTACTATTCTACTAAAGAATTTGAGCCCAACCATATCAATAATGACCCATATCAAGAATGACCCACACTTAGAACCTATTTTACTATCGTATTTTACTGTCGAAACTCAGGGGACAATCATTTGGACCCGTCTCCATCTGATCATACCGCTTGAAAGGTCCCTGGAGTACACCACCAATGCGCGCTACTGCTTAGCAGAGAAGCAGCCCAACCCCAACGATCGCGACGATCCCTGGCCCGTGACTTGGTTTTGATGAGTGGCTGGCACTTGAGACTTGCAGCTGTCAGGTAGAAATTGGCCTTTGATCATGACTGGTTTTACTTTCAGCCAAAACAGATGACATGATATCATATGAGATCTAAACCGGTAGCCGCATCCAAACCTGTAGCTGTGGCCCCTAAGTTTTGACCCTTGGATAGGTTTGAACCCTTGGATGCAAGGAAAAAACTTTGGGTGCAAAAATCGGATTGGCTCCCAACATTTCAGATCCCAGTGAACGCACGATTATGCAAGAATGTACGAAGAAACACATGAATGGAAGATGAAAGAATCAACAAAGAATCCCCCAAATTGGATGGTTCAAAGGATTAAAGGTAATTAAAGGTAAACATTGTTTGAACATGGCCGCTTCATACTGCTTCTTTGTTTGCAGTGGCCATCGCCCCGAGGATTGGGGAAGATATGAAGCCGGAGCTCCGGATCTGTTTCTTGAAAGCAGAAAGGCAACCGTCTCGGCTCCATCACTGCCTCTCTCCTCCCATTTTCATCCATTGATTGTGGAGATGGACTATGAAATGCGGGCTTTGGTAGGGATTTGGCACTAAGTCACTGTGATTGGGTCGAACGATTGTATATACATCATAAATACACTATAGTCTCGGGGTGCTCAAAAAAGATGAAACAGCTTTTCCAGGATGATATCCAAATCATATTTAGCTGCTAAGAATCCGGGCTTTCCAAGTTTTCTCCATTCTACGGCCTCAGGAACTTACAGGACAAGCCACCGTCCGTGGTCCCTTGGATGTCAGGTGGAATTGGCAGCCAATGGAGGAGTTCATGGGATGCAACCAGCAACAATGGTGGGATTTCATAGGGAATTACCCGGCCTGGTAAACATACAAAAAACTATGGAACATCACAATTTTTTATAGGTAAATCAACTATAAATTATAGGCCATTTTCAATAGCTATGTTAGTCATTACCAGAGGGTCATGGGATTTATTGGATTTGAATTTATGGGATCTAAATCTACGTCGTGAACTTTTATAAATTCGCATCTGGGTGTGTCTGAAAAAATTGGGGATTCAACCCCCATGAAACAGAAGGCTATTTTGATAGAGAAAATGATGATGAACGATCTAATCTTGTGGTACCCTCTGGTAAACATACAAAAAGCTATGGAAAATCACCATAGAAATAGTGAGTTTTCCCATGAATAGCATGGTGATTTTCCATAGCTATGTGAACGTTTACCAGAGGGTACCCTATTTGCAGAACAATCTATCTAAGCCAATGTTAGAATTTTGCTTTGGACGTTTCCCATTTAGAGACGATGTTCCCGTGTTTTTCCGCTATGTACCGGGCATTTCCATTGCCATCTTAGGTTACTAGGGGTCAGGTGTGTAGATCATCATTTTTGATCTGCAAGTTTCATCAGACTTGAGAAAGAGCTGCAGAGGCGAAAGTGGCATATTCAGTAAGAGTCTATATATATATTATGTTTTTCTCATCATAAGATCTTCCGTAAGATGTAGGGCTTGAGCGAGGGTAAAAATGATAGGAACAGCACATACTCAGAGTCTCATCCATGAGATCTTCCTCTTACTTGTCATGTTTAGGGCTAAAAAAAATCGACATAATGACAAGTTGGTTCCCCACCAGTCCCTCTATGCCTGAATTTTACAGGTCTTTGATCCTGGGGGAACCATGAACTAAATCCCCCCCACAGCATGTTTAGTTCACGATGTGTTCATGACTTGGGTTTCCATATGGTATTTACATTTTAGGAAGTCATGAGGTTATGATTCAGTTTGAGGATTTAATATAACTATAATTTTATATAATCAATTTAATCAGTTGGTTTAATTATATAATCCAACTGAGACTGATTCATCCCTTTAAAACTTAAATCAATCAATTTTTTTCATCGCTAGTTTTTTGGGATCATATTTATTTTCACCGGATGGCTTTAATGGCTTTATTAATAACATTCATCCCTTAGGGAATCATGTGAAAATCCCTTGCCTGGCATCCAAATCTATGTGTCAGGGTCAAAAGATGGCGGCCATCCCTGAGCATCCGGGGGGTTGGTGGTATCCAATGAAATCACCATTGGATCATGAAAAATCCCAAAGATCACCATAGAATCCAATGAAATCCCATGAAATCCCCACTCAATCCCATGAAATCCCCACTCAATCCCATTAAACCACCATTAAATCGTCATGCAATCATCAGTTGCGGGACTGACGATCTGTTCCCTCAGGTGATGTCGCGCACGATCGTGAAGGACGTGCACAGCGACGGCAGCGCGGGGGCCGGCTCTGGCAAAGCGGATCCGTAACGTGGCCATTGGTTCAGGTGGCTGCTGGGAGGTTGGCTGTTGCAACTAGGGGTTGGTACAAGAATAGGAATATATATATATATAAAGTATATATATATATAATATAATATAATATAATATAATATAATATAATATAATATAATATATATATACATATAATATATATATATACCGTGGAGTTTATACGGGGATGGATCCAAAGCTACTAGTGAACATTCATTTACCAGCTATAACTTGGTGTGATCAGCAGGGTATTCACCTTCATGGATCAATTATCATACTGTCATCAGTGTATCGTCATCAAAGTGCCATCAAATTGCCAGTTGGTGAAGAGGCCGCTTTGACCGCTTTGGACCGCGGTGTTTTTCACTGAGCCATGCCACCATTTCGACCCGCCAAATGGACTTTTACGATTTTCTCTGGACAACCGAAACATTCTCATTGGTTTTGTTGGTCTGTCTGATTGGGATCAGTTTCCTGTGCAATTCTCCTGTTTTCTTCTTTACCAGTGTCTGAGAAAATTATCTGGCAATGGACGAAAACAAGCATCTTCGAGCGGATCGCTGGTCGGGTTGTTTTTAGTTGTGCACGGTCTAGGTCGCCCCACACTCGGGCACATCCCGATATGTATAATATATATATAATATATATATACAGTATACACACATATAATTACCCTTTTGAAAGAACAAGCAAACTTGTAGATTTTGGATATACCATATTTTCATACAATCCTTTCTGCTCGGTTCCATTGGATTTCTCAATCAGGTTCCCCTTACGAAATTCCCCAGGTGGTCCACCCAAATTTTGGCGGTGCATTGCTGCTGTGTTTGACCAAACATATTGATCCCGAAGAATGTTACTTAACCACTTACAATTGGTAACCATTATAAATTATAAATAATCCTTGATGAATGCAGTGACCATTGATCATCCCAGTCCCAATGTAGGTCTAAGGATGTCTAAGGGAAAATCTGCAGGAAACCTCTATCTTCTCGGGTAAAAACCATGTTTTCCTGCAGATTTTCCAAGGTTAGATGACTCAGAGGAATGGTCAGACGGTGAGCCCAGTGATGATGAGACCGAGCAGGAAAGGAAGGAACGAACCGCCCCTTGGAACCATAAAGGGTTCAACGGTTCAACGGTTGTAACCATCAACAAGAGGGATAGAACGAATGATGGGATGGGATGGGAGTTAACGTGGATTCGACCATCAACAAGAGGTTTTTTCTGGGTTATAGTTTGTGAACTATCACAATTATTAATGTCATGTGGAGGTTTCCAAAGTCATGGGGATATCATGAAATATACGACCAACTTCATATGATTTGGGTGTGCCTGAAAATGGGGTATAGCATGGTATAGCACCCAACTGCCAATTCTGATAGGGAAAATGATGTGCCTATCCCATGCAGCTGGTATGTTCGGATGGAAAAACGCACGTTGATGGAAAGGCCCCCACCTTGAATATGATTGAGTTGCGAAGCTGCAAACTCCTGTCCCGGCTTGGATGCCAAGCGGAAATCGTGCCTTGGACATTTCTGGTGTTGTGTTGGTGACAGGTATGGGAAAGATCCCAGAAGGAGGGCGAGCAGTATCTGCCGAAGCGCTTCTTGAAAGGCTGGAACGGGCCGATGGGGGCAGAGTGAGCAGCCAGGACTTTCCTCACATATCCCCTTAAAACTCAAGAGCGAACCCTGAAGAATGGAGTTTTAAAAATGAATTTACAGCTGGACACCGGCCATTCAGTTACATGTCAAAATCAACAGCATACATGCCGAAGCCTGAAGCACTGGTAGGACTTCAGAATCATTACATCACCTTCATATTGCCTCGTTTTGCTGGTTCCATATGTCCTTTGGGTTGTCTGTAATAGCTTGAGTTCTGATTTTTGGCTCCAGCATTCTTGGCTGAGCACCCTGCATCCTAGTGCCATCACCGATGAAGCTGCAGTCTTTGGCATGCTTTGCTGCGGCCCTTGTGTGGCTTGACACGGTGCATGGTGAAGACTCACAGCCTCCAGTGCCTGGTCCCACCACTGGTGGAGAGTCAGACACCGACACAGCACCTGAGGTTGCAGCGGCCAACGGCACGGATGCGGAAAGCGCATGGCCAAAGCTGAAGGCATTGCGGGGTGGACATCCTGGTGGCCATGGTGCACCTTTTCATGGTGGGCCTCATGGTCCTGGGCCTCATGGTCCTGGGCCTCATGGACCTGGGCCTCATGGACCTGGGCCTCATGGACCTGGGCCTCATGGTGGACCTCATGGTGGACCTCATGGTTATGGTGGGCTTCCACCTCCATTCTTTCCTCCACCTCCATATGGATCACACGGTCATGGCTATCCTTCAGCTCCATATGCACCGCATGGCTATCCTCCACCTCCATTTGGACCACATGGTTTCCCTCCACATGGACCACATGGCCATCCCGGACCACATGGACCGGGACCACATGGGCCGGGACCACATGGACCGGGACCACATAACCATCCACCTCCTCATGGACACGGCGGACCCCATGGGCGAAAACTGGACAAAGAGTTTGCCATGGAAGCCCCACCGGCTGATGAGGTTGCAGCGGCCAACGGCACGGATGCGGAAAGCGCATGGCCAAAGCTGAAGGCATTGCGGGGTGGACATCCTGGTGGCCATGGTGCACCTTTTCATGGTGGGCCTCATGGTCCTGGGCCTCATGGTCCTGGGCCTCATGGACCTGGGCCTCATGGACCTGGGCCTCATGGACCTGGGCCTCATGGTGGACCTCATGGTTATGGTGGGCTTCCACCTCCATTCTTTCCTCCACCTCCATATGGATCACACGGTCATGGCTATCCTTCAGCTCCATATGCACCGCATGGCTATCCCCCACCTCCATTTGGACCACATGGTTTCCCTCCACATGGACCACATGGCCATCCCGGACCACATGGACCGGGACCACATGGGCCGGGACCACATGGACCGGGACCACATTGGCCGGGACCACATGGACCGGGACCACATAACCATCCACCTCCTCATGGACACGGCGGACCCCATGGGCGAAAACTGGACAAAGAGTTTGCCATGGAAGCCCCACCGGCTGATGAGGTTGCAGCGGCCAACGGCACGGATGCGGAAAGCGCATGGCCAAAGCTGAAGGCATTGCGGGGTGGACATCCTGGGCCTCATGGTCCTGGGCCTCATGGACCTGGGCCTCATGGACCTGGGCCTCATGGACCTGGGCCTCATGGACCTGGGCCTCATGGACCTGGACCTCATGGTGGACCTCATGGCCATCCACCTCCACACGGAGGACATCCATGAGTGATGCATCAGCCATGGACGTTCAGCACTTTGTCAGGGCAATCTCCGCAGATTCGCGAACCCTTTCTGCTGACGTCGAATTAGGTTTTAATGATTTGAATAAAATCATGAGCACCTGCCAGCTACTGTGTTTCAACCCTCCAACTTAGTCCTAATGGAATTCCCATTTGCGACGGTTGCAGCCTACAACAGTTTCATAATCCGACTCTAGCTGGTAGGGGCCTATCAGTGGACTTTTGCTCGATTCTTGGTCGCGCAAGCCGACTTATACAGATATGATATGTCATATATCTCTATACGATGTACAGCAAACCTTCACAAGCTGCGAGAGCTCGGAAGATTCGACCTCGCATCACAAAAAAGCACGGGCTGATTGAGGTTTTCGTGACGGTGCTACACATTGGTAGCAGCCTTGGACGTCATCAAACCCAGGAATTGATCCCAAATTTTTCCCCAAGGTCGCAACAGAATGAGTTTTTTTTGGTTTTCCAAGGATGTTTTAATGGATTTTGCCAGACAGATTCATGACCCTTGGCTGCCATGGCCCAAGCGTCGCCTGTGACAAGGTCTGCTTCCCGAAGGGCTGCTCGAGAAGTATTTCATCTACCAGGAACAGCTGGTGTAGATGATTACTTTTGGATGAGGGCAGGGGTTTAGTTTGGGTGAAATTCAGCTTCAAATCAAAGGTCGATAGCGTTTGCAGGTCCTTGGTCTTGCTGCACCCTTGCAATGATAGATTTTGATGGTTCCCCATGATGTTTCTATATTCTCAAGATAGGTTCTCGTGTGGACCCATACTTGATCCCATATGGAGGTTTCCATAGTCATGGGGGTACCCCAATAGCTGAATCCGAAAATAAAGTGCATGATTTGGGGCCACCATCATTTTAGGAAGCCTCCATATAAGTCCCATAGATCCCAATCAATTCCCAGGCCCGCACCCCTTTCTGTGGCTGGCCGTCCCGAGGAGAATGAGTCGCCCTGGAGAGCCATCCGAGGATATCCAAAGACCTTGGAAGGAGAAGAGGATGCTCGGCGCTTGAGCAGTGGCTGCTAAACCCCGGTTGGTTGATGGTTGGTTTGGGGACTATACTAAGCGATAATATATATACATATATATATATATATACATACATACATTGAAATATCTTAATTATAATATGGATTGTCACAATTCGTTAGGGGAATCCCTATCAATCAACCAGCATAGATGACTTTCTCAGTGAACATGAAACACACAAGTTTTAAGGAACATGGGGGACATCACCCAAGGAGAGAACAGTTTATTTTCTGTTGTGGGATTTTCTCATGTTGCTGGGCTTCATACGTAGAGTCTCGCTGTGCGAAAGTTCGAACAGCCCACAGTACCATGGCACCAATCTCTGTACCAGAAGAGAGTCGTAAGCAGGTGTTTGAGTAGGTGGTTCGACCCAATTTAACATAATTTAACCACCTTAACAAATGAGTGCTTCAACCACTATACCTTACTTTTATTGAACTATATCACCTCGGCCCGAGGAACGAGATCCAGACCACATCCTCGAGATCAAGCTGATCAAGGTGAAGAAGGTTCCCAGTACCGGGCACCGAGGGTGGTGCGCGCTGGTGCGGAAACGTTGGAAGGCGGCCGGAAGGAAACCCTGGTTCCTGCTGAATCTGTTGTATGCCAAGGAAACTTGGCGCAAATCTTCGGAGTTTTTCCATTTTTCAAGAATTTTTCACCGTTGTGTGTTTTTTGTGGTGCGAGGTGGGTTGTTCTCACAAAAGTCGAGGTTTTTGGCGTTTTCTGCTCCGATGGGTTCATAAGTTGAGGTCATTTGGGTACGGGTGAGTGATCACAGCTATAGCACCATGACACTGACAGGAGGGAACGCCTTTGCACAGCATGGCACGTACCTTGGTCCGTTTGGAAAATCTCTCCTTCATCTTAGCGTGGACAGAGCAAGACCCACGAGACCCAAAGGCGACCGGATACGATCCGCCCATCCATTTCGTGGAAATGCCGCGGCTGTTTCTTGGGTGGACAGAGGATGGTTTGGTAATGGCAGAAAAAACTGGTGGTCTTGGTGTGTGATATGTATATGTAGGAAAACACTTGGAGGTTTTGCTTGGGTGCTAAAAACTTCAAAAGAACAGTCTTGACTCTTGACTTGATTCTAGTACAGTTGCGTTCTGTTTAATTTCGAATATTCTTTTGATATAGCTGAGCATGACAAGTCAGAAGCATTTTCTTTCAGCATTTTTGTTGACCATTCATTTTGCTGGGTAAACCTGGATCATTATTCACTATCATTTTCCCCATTAAATCCCACTAAATATGGAACCTCTATCATATGGTTTCCTAAAATATGGCTACCCCAAACCATTGGTAACCATTAACCCTGACAAATTCACCATTCATTAACCGCTGGGACCGCTGGGGTTGGCACTTCCCAGGCTGTTGTCCTTCACCGTGAAGCGCGCCGCCGACGGCAGCCGCGGCCTCTGGAGCTTGGACCACGCCGAATTGTCCGTGCCGCTGGGGCCGCCCAGCTTCGCCAGGACGCAGGCGGTGGGATTTCTTGGGGATTTCTTGGGGATTTCTTGGCATTTCACCAACCCAAGTAACTTATGTAACTTAAGCAACTTAAGTAGTTATAGTCATAGGAACAATAGTGTTATTCATACGGCATAATATAGTTACTTATTCTTACTGGTGATTATTGGTAAGTGGTGTATTGGTGTATTCGTGATTACTATTTGCTGGTGATTAGTGTAACTTGTGTTAATGGTGAATTTGGTGGCTGTTCATGTTGAATTGGATTTGGTGTTACTATCCAAAATTATGAAATTCCAAAGTCATGGGGGTACCCCCAATAGCTGGATGGTTTATAAGGGAAAATCGATGGAACATCCCATTCAAATGGATGATTTCCCCCAATAGCTGGATGGTTTATTTCATGGGAAATCCCAAACAAAATGGATGATCATCCAGTCGTCATGGATGACCATGACTTAGTATTGAAAGCTATGGTGATGACTGGGGATACCCGATAGGAAACCTCCATATGCATATAAATGTTGGATTTGGTGTTAAAATTACTCGTGAGCCCTTGTCAGTTTCAAAAACTGGGTGACTTTAAGTTGGATCTAATGATGGATTTGTTGTTATACTGTCCCAAGTAATTGAAGGATTTCATCAGATTTAGTGGGATTTTTCGTGGGGTTGGAATTTTTCATGTTTTTTTTTTCGCAACATTGGGATAGGGGGTTGGTTACCATTGACAATGATATAATGGGGAGAGAATGGGCGATTTGAGCAAGAAATATGTCGAGTTTATGGGGATACAAAAGTCAAGCAAATATCGAGGGACAATCGCTGTTGAGTTGGTTCGCTGGTAAACATTTTACTCTTGACCCTTATTTGGCATTGGTGCCTAACCAAGTAATTAAAAGCCGTATATAAGTATATATATATATATTTATATAAATATATACGTATATATGACACACACACATATAAATCTATATATATATATATATCTATATATATATATATATCTATCTATCTATCTATCTATCTATCTATCTATCTATATATATGTATTTTACATGTTGAAGTGTTGATTGGTACGGAATGGCTCAATCTGCTGGGATACACATCGAAACGGCCAGCCAGAGTCACAGCGAAACGCTAGGCTGCCAAGTTGCTGGAACCGATGCCGCACTCCTTGTTGCTGCAAACCTCCAACCAGCAATACTTTGCGCTGTTGCCCAACATCAAGGTCCACCTGGGTCCACGTGGGCATGTGGTTTTTATGAAAAAATTATGGATGGGGATGGACTGTTCTGAAATGAACTCCTGACTTTCTCCCAAATGGGGTTCAAGATTCTTTTTTGACGAAGGGAGCTAGCTTCCTTATGGCAATTGTGGTCGAATGTTTGACGGAAAAGGTGTTGGTGGATTTCGAGGTCTTCACGACACCCGTGTCCCCATCTCTTTCTGTTGGGGAAACCTCGTGTGGTTTCTCCAGATAGTGAGTGGTTGACCCCCCCAAAGATGCTGGGAAGCCTGCAAGTCTAGACTGTGAGAATCACACGGGCTTATCCGGAGGTGTATATGCAGCTTTATGGCCACCTCAATTTGGATGATGATGATGATGATGAGCCATGAGATCAGAGGATACCCAATTTTCCATTTCTAGATGATTTTCCCAGCTAGACACTCCCATCCCCGAGGGAAAAAATCGCCATGTTTGCCATCCCAGGTGCACCGGCCGCACGTGGGGACGGATCCCTTCTCCACCGAACTGGTCCTGGAACGTGGCAACTCTGACTGGCTTCTTGGAACTGAGAGGTGGTGCACCAAAAAAAGGGGGGCCAAAATGGAAGGTGGATTTTCGACGAATTTTCGACTTTTTTTTTACCAATTTGACTTGAGGATTTTGACATATCTTCATAATCTGCAGCAATTTGATTCACTTTCCATCCCCCAAAATAGAGGACTTTTTTTTTTGGGTCCTTTTACTTCGGGCAACCGAGGTGGGGTCGAGCCAAGAACAAGACCTTCCTCTACCCGGTGCATGCCTCACGGTCCTTCCTGCAAACGCCCACCCTGGCCTCGGCGCTGTATGTCAGCTGGCTGCCCTAGGGATGGAGGGGTGCATAGGGGTGCGTTAGTTTCCGCGATGTTTTTGTCTGAGCATATGGTATATTTATACATGGTTATACATGATTATACAATTATACAATTATACATGATTATACATGTATATGTATATGTATATGTATATGTATATGTATATGTATTTGTATATGTATATGTAAATGTATATGTATATGTATTTGTAAATGTATATATGTAAATGTATATGTCTATGTATATGTAAATTTGTATATGTATATATGTATATATGTATATATGTATATATGTATATATGTATATATGTATATTTGTATATTTGTATATATGTATATATGTATATTTGTAAATATGTATATATGTATATATATCTATAAGAGTATAAGAGTATAAGTGTATATATATATGTATAAATGTATATTTTTATATACGTATATATGTATACATTTATATACGTATATATGTATACATTTATATACGTATATATGTATATATTTATATACGTATATATGTATATATTTATATACGTATATATGTATATATGTTTATATGTATATATGTATATATGTATATATGTATATATGTATATATGTATATATGTATATATTTATATATGTATATATGTATATATCTATATATGTATATGTATATGTATATGTGTATGTATATATATATATATGTATCTGTATATATATATATATATATATGTGCATGCATATGTATATGCATATGTATATGCATATGTATATGCATATGTATATGTATATGTATATGTATATGTATATGTATATGTATATGTATATGTATCTGCATGTATATGTAAATGTAAATATGTATATGTATATGTATATGTGTATGTGTATATGTATATGTGTATGCATGTATATGTATATGTATATATGTATATGTATATGTGTATATGTATATGTATATATGTATATGTATATGTTTATGTATATGTATATGTCTATATAAAGTGCTGTTGGTTTTTAAAGATCCGCATCAAGATGATGTTGAAGCACCATCTTATTTGGTGAATTGCCATGTTTCCTGAATATATATTTTTCCCCAAATCATCCCAACATCGCAGAACAAATTCATTGGGACAACAACCATTCAGGCTTCAGGTACTAAAATGTTTTTTTAGATACATAATTGGAGAATTATATAAAATATACGCATTTTTTTTTGCAATTTTATCCGGATATTGTTTCCTTCGGTTTTTGTATATAAACTTTTCCCACAGGGTTTTTAAATACATTGTAGATCACTGATCCCACTTCCAGGTCCAGCATCCTTTCGCAGGTCATGATGCTCCGCTGGATGAATCGCGACTATCGCGGGGTGGCGGCCCTGGTGAGCGCCGTGGGCACCGACGCCAAATACGAGGAAGATGAGATGCAGATCTTCAAACACCTGGGACGCATCAGCGATCCCCATCCAGACTCACATGCCAACCGAAACTGGGTAGCTGGGTCGGGTTGACAACTGAAGCGATCGGTTGAGGGCATGGATCATCATGCGATTTTCCGCTGGGATATAAAGGAGACATAAAATGGGTGAATTGGGATACGAACATGATAGAAACCAACAATACAATATATCGCATTCAAGCCGGGTAGAGAATGGGAGATGCTTCCAGGGGCTGGGACCATTCCGCACATCTTTGGATGTTAGGATTTTTCAGCACCCCGGGGGCATGGGTTAAGTCACGGAGTAAGGACGAAATATGGGATAATTATAGATGATTTGTTATCAGTATTCGGAAACCCATGAAGAGAGATTAAACCTTATTAATCCTTATTAAACCCTGCTTGATGCGTTGAACAAACACTGTTTTCTGCAGGATGCGTCCCATTGCTTAGGGCATCAAAAATCGGTGGATTTGAACGTCACTGATGTTTCGTATCATTCAGTGACCGCCCATGAAGAAAGAGGATCTGACCCTCAGTTCAAAGCGTACAATTATGATCGCTTTAACCCATTTTGGCTCTTTTCAATCATATAGTAATGGTTCACACACTATTCGCTCCAATATTAAACACCAGAAACCATGCTTTAGTTTGAGATTTACACATGTTTGTCATGTTTGGGACTTACACGGGGGTGTTTTTTAATGGATGGGATTGACTCCGCTCAGGATTGCAGGTCTCCTTGGCAGTGTCAGATGCCAACATGGAGCTCCCCTGGGACTTGTTGGAGGAGTCTGCGGGTTACCTGGGAAAAATCGCCCACGTCACTGCCAGGTGGGGATCAAAACTCGGCACATGAGGAAAGCTCTATGACTTACTTATAATTAACCACGGCAACCATGGATTTCCAGTGGATTTAACCAGTGGACTTATAGAGATTCACTTTTTTTCCAGAGATTTCACTTTTCCTTTTTCCAGTGGATTTAACCATGGCAACCATAGAATTCCTCTGCATGAGAGTCCAAATCGTCAATTCCAGAAGGTCGCGGCTGAGCGAGGACTACGAACTGCGCGTCTTGCAACTCTGCAGCCAGATTCGTAAGTGCCTTGAGATCATCGAGAACGAGGCGGGGGGTCGAATGATGGCTGTAAGAACTGCCTGACATCCGATTTTGTTCAACATCATTGTTAGGGTGGAGGGAAGATCTGACTATCTTTATCTATCTTTATCTATCTTTATCTTTGTCTATCTTTACCTATCCTTATCTATCTTATTTCTATCTTTATCTATCTTTCTTGGCTTTCCACGAGTTGTAATTTTATTTGGAGGCCCGGAGGCTTGTGTCAAGACAGCGGATGGATGAGGCGAACCATTCCTTCCTTTATTTCCTTTCTTTGTTCGCATGGCAGTTGCAGGTGCTTGACATTTTTCAGGAGGTACTCTAGCAACCCACTCAACCCATCTCAATCCTTTGTCACTGTGAAGATTTCTCTGCCAGCAACAGTTGACGAGAGAGGAGAGGTTCCTACAAAACATACGAGCAGTTCCCAGCCGGTGACGAATCTGGAAGGTTCACCTTAATTGATTTAATTGTGACAGATAGATCATGCAGATTTAATTGCATATGTTTACTTCTACAAATTATGAGGGTTTTACCCATTTGGGGAGTTGCTAAAGCTACATCTATAGCTTCTCCACAAACGTGCCCCAGTCGAGGTCGGTGTGCTGCGCCAACGCTGGTGGGGTCAATGGGGTGCAGCACGCATCAAGCGCTTTGTGGAACTGCTACAGAGCGATGCTTTTTCAGTACGATACGGTGATGACTGGGGATCACCTCTAGATGAATGGTTGAAGGTTGAAGGGGTTATCAGACTATTCTTTCATGAGATCCCACCATTACATGGAGGAATATTATGTATGTGAGAACAGCATATTTTCAGTGCCGAGAGAGTCACCCCCTATCTCCATCAAATCTCTCCTCTCACTAAGCCGACTAAGGTCCCCTAAGTAGGCTTATCCCATTTAATAAGTGGGCTATAAGATGTTATCAGCCCATTTACAAACCACATCAAAGCACTGATTTATAGCTGGGTTGATCCTCCATTTATTTCATTTTATTTGGATGTTTTTCCCAGATAGAACCTCCATTTTTCGTGGATTTCTACGAAGCCCAGGAGAAGGAGAGAAAGTTGGCGAATTTCCAAGAAGCGCAGGAGGTGGAGCAGTGGCTACGACAATTGGTTCGTGCCTGGATCTGGTTTTTTTTCCGCGGCCGGTGCCTAGTGGTTGCAACCATAAGGTGAAGTTCTTCTGGAATCCTGTTGGTTGTTTGGAGATGGCTTTGGGTCAAGTTTGGAAGTCTCAATTTTTCCACTGGGATGATCCAACTGACATTGGCGGAGCATGAACCCGAGCTTGATGGCCTCGTCACGTTGAAAGAACGGAACCGCCAAATTGTTTTCAAAGTAAATCATGAACTTAAGCAGAAAAATGCGTGGTGTCACAGTTTGCTATACTAATCTACTATATTAGACTTCTTGACCCCCAGCCGTTTTCCGAATCCCCGGCCGTTTTCCCTGTCTCGACCTTGCAATGGTTGAGGCAAGATGAGAGCCTCGCAACTTCCACAGACCAAGGAGGAGATCCGATCAATGGCCATCGAGGCCCAGATTTTGAGCAGAAAAACTCATCAGCTTTCAATGGGATTTTTGTTTTTTTTTGACACTTTTTAATGGGGAGAACCCCAACTTTTGCTGGGAGTTATGATGATTCTAAGCAGCAAACATGTGGGTTTTATCATTTTGAATGACCAAATGACCATGAAAATTAGTATACATAACTACTCGTGGAGATTCTAAGCAGCAAAACAAGCATAAAACAAGCGGCCAGAAAAAATAATACCATTCCTATAATGAACTATCATTTTGATGGGTATTTAGAGATGTATGAAGATTGTGAACAGGAAGACTGACGAATATGTTCGTGGAAGAAATCGACTCGCTGATTTCACAAAACATGATGGTTAGCCCGTTCGTTTCCCCAGCTGCCCAATTTCGACATGAAATGGGGGATTTTCTCGTTTCCAGTTCAGTATTGATTGGTTACCCCTGCATCTTGTTTGCTGGTAAATACCTTCCGGTACTGCTGGCAATGGAGAATTCCCCATTTCGTTCGATGATTTTCATTGATCTTCCCAGTAAAATGACGATTTAGTTCATTTTCCCATTAAAATCCTATAGAATGTGGCTGGTAAATTAGATTTTTCCCTAGATTTTCCCATTTAAATCCTATAAATAATGAGATTTTCCTATTCTGTTCACCCATTTCGTTGGGGCATCCGATCGTCCAGGTCTTTGGAGATTACAGCGTGGATCCAGATGTGGAACTGGCTCTGGACAACCGTCGCATGGCGACAGAAACATGTTCCAGCAGTATTTCTCCGTGTATGTTTGGCATTTTCCCTCTTTGGATCATCTATATATATAAAATATATGTATACACACATATATATATATATCTACACATCTCCCTCTCTCTCTCTCTATATATATATATTCTAATATATGATATCACGCTGTTTGGATGGGATGACAGTCATCACCCAGATCTTCCAACATCTTCCCTCAGGTTCCAAGTACTTGGAGCGTCTCGGAGGCCGTGATGGCGCGCGGCCGGGAGAGGAGCTCTATCTGCACTGCCCTCGCCGGGTCGCTGGGATGGGGTTTCCGGTTGGGCTGGGGGCTGGGGGCAGAAAGGCCGGGGGCTTAAAACAGTTGAAGACATGGGAATTTGATGAAGAAAATTGGGTTTAAACTGTTTAAACATGGTGACTTAGTCACTACGAAGGGTTTTGATTGATGGATTTGACTAAGGAAAAGGGGAGTGGGCTGACAAACGGGGATGGAACCCACAAGAACACAGGCATTTCGCCAATGTTCAATCAGGTTTAGACCGATCCACATGAAATTGAGATGTGACCAGCGAACATGGGGTTGTCCAAAACAGAAATGGCTTTACATTCAAGAACACTTGAGGGTATACGGATGTATACGGTGTAAACATATAAAGTTGCTTATACTGGATGGATATCCAATCAAAAGTCCCATGAAATCCCTATTGTTGATGGTAAAATATGGTAAGCTCTCTATTTAAATCCCATTAAATCCCATTAAAACCCATTAATTCCATTCAACAGCTTTATTTTCAGACACCTCCATGGATCCAAGGCGAAGGAATCCCTCTGGCAGACGCATCAAGATCAGAACGTGGCTCGCTTAGTCAGGGGATGTCAGGGGCCCCAAAATCGCCGAACTTTTCGGGTTGCCGAAACGTTAGAAAACTTATCTAGAAGCGTCATGAATGATGATGATGGTGATGATGATGATGATGATGATGATGGTGATGATGATGATGGTGATGATGATGATGATGATGCTGGTGGTGATTATCATTCTGCTGAAATGCTAGATGACCGAATTGATCACGGATCATGGTCCTTCAGGTCCTCCAGTCTTCCAGGTGGATTCATGGGGAGACCATTCAGCATGGGGATACTATGGGGATATAATTACGGGTACATAAGTAATATGTATATGTATATGTATATGTATATGTATATATATATATATACATATAAATATGTAGCTAATGACCATTCTGGTCGGTGGTTTGACAAATTTCAACAAATGGTCCATGGGAGGATGATCCTCATTCACCTATAGCTGTTGGCTTCAGCGGAGTCAGGTGCTGCTCTGTTCGCTCTTCGACTTGTTGTGGGAAGTGCTGGGCGCCGAGAAAGTGCTCCGCCGCGATGTGGAAGAAGAGGAAGGCCTTGCCGCTTGCCTGAAGGGCGAACGGGCGTTTAGGGGCGTTGAGGGCGAACGGAAGGTCCAGTTTGGCTGTGGGTCGGTTAGAGCCTGGTTTTTCTGATTTTTCGATGATGTTTGATTTCCAGCCTCATTTTGTTGCTTAAATCAATGAATGACCACAATGACCCCGTTTCTTGGCTCATGTCCTCCATGTTTTCTGACTCCACTCGTTTCCTTTGTCAATATTCACAGCAATATTCGAAACTAAGGACTAAGGTCCCAGATTTCCCGGCCCCAATGATCTCCGGCCGACCGTTTGTTGGACTAAACAACACAAACAACACATAATCAGATCATCATATATCATATATCATATATCATATATCATATATCATATATCATATATCATATATCATATATCATATATCATATATCATTCTACTACTATCTACACACATATATGTAGATATATATATATATATATGTATACAATATTTTGCTATGTCTGCTGTCTGCTATGTGCCAAAGCATGTCCATTGCATCCCATGCTTTCCATGTTCCGCTAAGGAGATCCCCATGATGCGGCGCTTGCCGTTCCCCATGGCCATCAGCACGGCCTTCGAGATGCTACAGGGGAAGATGAGTTTGAAGGACTATGGCAGTGCTCCTTGGATTCAGATATTACCCGGCCTGGTAAACGTTCACATAGCTATGGAAAATCACCATAGAAATAGTGACTTTTCCCATGAATAGCACGGTGATTTTCCATACTCATGTTAGTTTACCAGAGGGTAATAGATTATGAGAGCAGAACATGCATGACACGGCGGAATCATGCACAGCATTTCCGTTGGGAGGGAAATGAGATCATACAATGGACAATTATTTCGTCGAGATTTCAAGCTTGATGTTTGCCGAAGTGACTAAATCTTAAACCAAGTTCGAACCCCAGTCGGTCGGGTTTTGAAGGTAATGTTTGTGGTTCCATGTTAGATTTCAAGGAGGTAGAATTGGCGGTGAGGGGGTTGATCAGAGACGGCCCGCTCAACATGAATACATCAATTTACGGTCATCAAATGGGGAATCTCATCATTTTCACTGACCATTTTTTCAGGAAGTTTATGATGACTTCTTTTTTTTTGGTGTGTTAAAACCATGGCTTTTCCCCTCAAACAACATCATTTTTGTTGGGTTCCCCCCTTTATGTTTTTCCCTTCAGGTGCTCCTTTAACCCGTTTTCGCACCTGGCCTGGCCTTCCAAGGCCCCGAAAACCTGGGCGTTCCTCTACTCGCTCTTCACCATGAGCACCGGGGCCCGCTTGAGCCGTGCCAAGGAGACGGCCGTGTCGCACCTTGGCACGTTGCGTTCGTCAAAGGTGGTTTTTAAGCCCCCTGGAAATTCGGAAAAATTGAGACACCCGGAATTGGCTATGGGTCAATACCGATACATTTTTAGTGGGATGAACATCCATTTACCAGCTATTTTGGGGTTCACTAGGTACCAGGGTTTTGATCCATCCCCAATTAGGAAAACGTCTCCTGGAAATCCAGTTTTTTCGTTTTTTTCTTGACCCCTTTTTTCCTGAGACTGCAATGGATCTAATGGATGATATAACATGGATATTGATGGGTAATCATGTGGATGATTAGTGGCAATGTGGGTCAGACGCGGGGTGTTCTGGCTACCAGCGTTTTTTTTTTGTCATGGGGCTAATCCTTCTGATCCTTCTGGATTCAACGTGTTTTTTAGAGAAATCCCCGTGTCGGTGTCCCCAAGAAATATCCGTAAATCCCAGAAAAAGATATGGCAGTGTGTGAAAACCTTGTACCCCTGTAGTTCACATCAAAATAGCTGGGATTTATGGATGTTCATTCTCCTAAAAATGGTATGTATAGGTATTGATCCATACCCATATTTTCCCATTAAAAATGGTGATTTTCCATAGTTATGTGAAATTACCAGAGGGTAAATCCCAGAAAAAGATATCACAAGTCCCATGAAATCATCATGATTCTCCCATGAAAATATCCCTTGGGGAACCAGGCACCAACACACCTACTCCACTTTGCTGCTGCACCTGATGCCCGGCTCGCGGCACCACGGGGTCTTGGCCTCGCTGCTCCATATCTTGGCCCAGAATCCCAACATCTGCACCTTGGACCCAGGGGTTAACCAGCCATGACTGGGAATGTTTTTTATATATATATATATATGGGTGTGTCTGAAAATAGTGTACCCCTAAACCCAATGGTTTTGCTGATCATTATCCCGTTTTTAAATGGCTATTTCATTGGGAAATATACCCTATTTTCAGACAAACCCATATATATGGCTATGGATCAATACCTATGAAAATACCATTTTTAGTGGGATGAACATCCATAAATCCCAGCTATTTTGATGTGAACTACAGGGGTACAAGGTTTTGACATACTGCCATATATATATATATACACACATACACTCTGGTAAACTAACATAGCTACTGTATAGA